CCTGGGCCTCCTGCTGGACTGCTTGGCCAGAACCCTCAAAACCAATTACAGATATGTCGCAGTATTGTATGCAGGGGCCAGCTCTTGAATTTTATATAGGAGTGGCTTCCGAGTAGCAATGTGGTTGGAAGAGGGAGCTAAGGGAATTGTTTTGAAGCAGTATTATTTTCTGTTTTGGTGGGCTTTGGAGGCTGATGGAATTTTGGGGGCTTCAGCCCCCCTTGTTTTCTTTTGGTCATGTCCCTGATGGTATAACCTCTAAAAATAGCACATCTCTACTGAGACTAACCATAAAATTATTGAATTACTTTAACAAATATAAAATTTGTAAATCAATTTTTTTGTCAGGCAAGCAATGATGGCCTAGGTGTCAACATACGTAGTATGGTGATTGTGGCAGTATTGATGATCCTCATGATGTTCTCCGTCCACTGCACATGGGTCACTTCCAATGCTTATTCTTCACCTTCAATAGTTCTAGCATCATACAGCCAAGATGGGTCAGTTGATCATGTACTGTTTTCCCCTAGTTCGTATATTTTAATTAACTGTGCAATTTGCTCTTTACATGTTTAATGTGTGAAATAAGACTTTTTTTTTTTTTCTGAAGGTTTAGCTATTTTCTCTTTAATACCAATGGGATGTAATTTTCTATTTGAAATTAGCTCTTGGCTGCTGCTCAATCAAAAAACATTATCATATTTGTTTGAACTCGCTGTCATTCATTGTTTAGGCCCCGTGGCTTTTACCCATGCCCTTTGCCATAGTGTGTTTTTGTTTAATCCTTTCTCCTTTACTCCAATGATGTAGTCTAGCTCACATTTTCTTTGGAGCTCCTTCCTCTCCAATCAAGCCTCAGTCTTGATATACAGTATTGTAGGTTCTCATCACACCAATACTACATACTCTAGAATGATTTACACACATTGTAGGAGTAGAGCTCTGCTTGTAGTCTTTCATCTTAAGATTATGTTCATTTTTTTTTTTTTCAACAAGTCGGCCGTCTCCCACCGAGGCAGGGTGACCCAAAAAAGAAAAAATCCCCAAAAAGAAAATACTTTCATCATTATTCAACACTTTCACCACACTCACACATTATCACTGCTTTTGCAGAGGTGCTCAGAATACAACAGTTTAGAAGCATATACGTATAAAGATACACAACATATCCCTCCAAACTGCCAATATCCCAAACCCCTCCTTTAAAGTGCAGGCATTGTACTTCCCATTTCCAGGACTCAAGTCCGACTATATGAAAATAACCGGTTTCCCTGAATCCCTTCACTAAATATTACCCTGCTCACACTCCAACAGATCGTCAGGTCCCAAGTATCATTCGTCTCCATTCACTCCTATCTAACACACTCACACACGCTTGCTGGAAGTCCAAGTCCCTCGGCCACAAAACCTCCTTTACCCCCTCTCTCCAACCCTTTCGAGGATGACCCCTACCCCTCCTTCCTTCCCCTATAGATTTATATGCTTTCCATGTCATTCTACTTTGATCCATTCTCTCTAAATGACCAAACCACCTCAACAACCCCTCTTCTGCCCTCTGACTAATGCTTTTATTAACTCCACACCTTCTCCTAATTTCCACACTCCGAATTTTCTGCATAATATTTACACCACACATTGCCCTTAGACAGGACATCTCCACTGCCTCCAACCGTCTCCTCGCTGCTGCATTTACCACCCATGCTTCACATCCATTATGTTCATATAAAATTTTAATATTTTTTTCTTTAGGTTCATCGTTTCTAATCACCAAAATTTTCTGTTAAGCTTATTATATATTTCCTTGTATTTAATATTTCTTTCCCTGTATGTTGGTAAAAAAAAAAAAAGAATCTCTGCTCTTCTGCTAGAAAATTTTCAGTATCTGGGTGTTTTTTTCCTCTGAATTCAGCATTCTCTTTTGCTGTTAGAAAATGTCTTTTCATAGGAAACTTTCAGGTACCTCAGTTTTTTGTTCATCTTTTCTTTAGTTGTACTCCATCCAGTAACAATGTAAAGTGATTTGTTTCCATAGGCAATACAGTATTAAATTTTTTGTATTATTCATGCTGAAGATAAAAACATAATCCAACCTTTCTGGCTCATTTCCTCTTGATCTTGTTTATTCTTTAATGGTGCCTTAGGAAGTCCTGCATTAATGATTTGAGCATCTTGCTCTTCTCTTGGGACACTGTGGGATCTCATTTTTCCCAGTTTACATCGCCATGATTTAATTCTATCACTGGTTTAACTTAACGTTTGCCGCCTCTATTTTTTCAGTGCAGTTGCTACACTCTTATTTCAATCTCTTTGGTTACTTTGTAGTAGATTGTTGAACATGGTAGGATTTGAGCCAGCTATATATTCGGAGAAGTCATTTTAGTCTAGAATTGATATTTCTTAACTTTTTTTTTTCTTCTTCTTCAACAAGTCAGCCATCTCCCACCTAGGCAGGGTGATGCAAAAAGAAAAAAAATCCCAAAAACTAAAATACTTTGATCATCATTCAACACTTTCACCTCACTCATACATAATCACTGTTTTTGCAGAGGCGCCCAGATACAACAGTTTAGAAACACATATAAAGATACAATATAAAAAGTGACCTGAAATAAAGACAGTATCAGGGGCCCCAATTATATATATACCATCTTATTACACATCCCACCAAACTGCCAATATCCCAAACCCCTCCTTTAAAGTGCAGGCATTGTACTTCCCATTTCCAGAACTCAAGTCTGGCTATATAAAAATAACCGGTTTCCCTGAACCCCTTCACTAAACATTACCCTGCTCACACTCCAACAGCTTGTCAGGTCCCAAAAACCATTCACTCCTATCTAACACGTTCAGGCACGCTTGCTGGAAGTCCAAACCCCTCGCCGACAAAACCTCCTTTACTCCCTCCCTCCAACCTTTTCGTGGATGACCCCTATCCCGCCTTCCTTCCCCTGCAGATTTATACGCTCTCCATGTCATTCTACTTTGATCCATTCTCTCTAAATGGCCAAACCACCTCCACAACCCCTCTTCAGCCCTCTGACTAATACTTTTATTAACTTCACAGTTTCTCCTAATTTCCACACTTCGAATTCTCTGCATAATATTTACACCACACATTGCCCTTGGACGGGATATCTCCACTGCCTCCAACCACATCCTCGCTGCAGCATTTATAACCCAAGCTTCATACCCATATAAGAGTGTTGGTACCACTATACTTTCATACATTCCCTTCTTTGCTTCCACTGATAACGTTTTTTGTCTCTACATATACCTCAACGCACCACTCGCCTTTTTTTCCTCATCAATTCTATGGTTAACCTCATCTTTTATAAACCCATCCATTGACATATCAACTCCCACATATCTGAAAATATTCGCTTCTTCCATACTCCTCTCCAATGTGATAGTAGGTTGGTAGACGGCAACCACCCAGGGAGGTACTACCGTCCTACCAAGTGAGTTGAAAACGAAAGCCTGTAATTGTTTTACATGATGGTAGGATTGCTGGTGTCTTTTGTCTCGTAAATATGCAAGATTACAGGTACGTCTTGCTACTTCTGCTCACACTTAGGTCTCACTAAACATACATGTATATGTTTGTTTATACACACACATCTGAGTTTTCTTTGATTTTATCTTAATAGTTCTTGTTCTTATTACTTTTCCTTTTATATCCATGGCAAAGTGGAATGAGAATCTTTCCTCCGTAAGCCATGCATGTTGTAAGTCAACTAAAATGCCAGGAAAAAATGGGCTAGTAACCCCTTTTCCTGTAATAATTATTAAAATGAATAAAAAGAAAATTGTCTACGTGGGATGTCTGAATGTGTGTCGATGTTGTGCAAATGATAAGAAAGAGATGATTGTGGATGTTATGAATGAGAAGAAGCTGGATGTCCTGGCTTTAAGTGAAAGAAAGCTGAAGGGGGTGGGAGAGTTTCAGTGGAGAGGAATAAATGGGATTAGGTCAGGGGTTTCAAATAGTTAGAGCTAAAGAAGGAGTAGTAATTATGATGATTGATAAGCTATGGCAGGAAAAGAGGGACTATAAATGTACTAATTCAAGGATTATGTGGAGTAAAATAGAGGTTGGATGTGAAAAGTGGGTTATAGTAAGTGTATATGCACCTGGATAAGAGAGAATTGTAGAGGAGAGAGATTTTGAGAAATGTTGTGTGAATGTGTGGGGAGTTTTGAACCAAGTGTGAGAGTACTTGTGGTTGGGGATTTCAGTGCTAAAGTGGGTAAAAATGTTGTGGAGGGAGTAGTAGGTAAATTTGGGGTGCCAGGGGTAAATGAAAATGGGGAGCCTTAATTGAACTATGTGCAGAAAGAGGTTTGGTAATAAATAATAAATATTTTATGAAAAAGAGGATAAATATACAAGGTATGATATAGCACGTAATGAAAGTAGTTAATTATGTATTGGTGGATAAAAGGTTGATAGGCTCCAGGATGTACACGTTTAAAGAGGGGCAACTGATATATCGGATCATTATCTAGTTGTAGCTGCAGTTAGAGTAAGAGGTAGATGGGACAAGAGGAAAATGGCAACAAGCAAGAGGGAGGTGAAAGTGTATAAACTAAGGGAGGAGTAAGTTTGGGTGAGATATAAGCAACTATTGGCAGAAAGGTGGGCTGGTGCAAGTATGAGTAGTGGGGTGGATGGGTTGAAGAGGGTTGGAATAGTTTTAAAAATGCAGTATTAGAATGTGGAGCAGAAGTTTGTGGTTATAGGAGGGTGGGTGCAGAAGGAAAGAGGAGTGATTGGTGGAATGATGAGGTAAAGGGTGTGATAAGAGAAAAAGGTAGCTTATGAGAGGTTTTTACAAAGCAGAAGTGTTATAAGAAGAGTAGAGTATATGAAAATTAAAAGAAAGGTGAAGAGAGTGGTGAGAGAGTGCAGGACAGCGGGTGATAGTGGGAGAGGCACTGTCAGGAAATTTTAATGAAAATAAGAAAAAAATTTGGAGTTAAAAAAGTTAAGAAACCCTAGGGAACGAATGGATTTCAGTTAAAAACAGAGTAGGAAAGTTAGTAGATGGGGAGATGGTTGTATTGGGTAGATGGCGAGAATATTTTGAGGGACTTTTAAATGTCGACGAAGAAAGGAAGGCGGTTATTTCATGTACTGGCCAGGGAGGTATACCATCTTTTAGGAGTGAAGAAGAGCAGGATGTAAGTGTGGGGAGGTGCGTGAGGCTTTACGTAGAATGAAAGGGGGTAAAGCAGCTGGAACTGATCGGATCATGACAGAAATGTTAAAAGCAGGGGGGAAATAGTGTTGAAGTGGTTGGTATTTTTGTTTAATAAATGTATGTGGGAGACGTCCGACTTGTTGAAAAAAAAAAATGTATGAAAGAGGGTAAGGTACCTAGGGATTGGCAGAGAGCTTGTATGTATAGTCCTTTTATATAAAGGAAAAAAGGTGAGTGGTGCATTGAGGTATATGTGGAGACCAAAAATGTTATATATGGAGGCAAAGAAGGGAATGTATGAAAGTACAGTGAACCCCCGCATAATGATATTAATCCGTTCATGAGAGCTCATTGTTATGCGAATGAATTTTCCCCATAAGAAATAATGGAAATCAAATTAATCCGTGCAAGACACCCAAAAGTATGAAAAAAATTTTTTTTACAACATGAAATATACATTTTCCTACGCACAAAGAGAAGGATACATGCACAATAGTAGAGTAGTACATGCACAGTATATATTGTGCATGTACTACTCTACTAAATGAAGAATAAATGACACTTACCTTTATTGAAGATGCAGCAATGACTGATGAGACAGTGTGTCCTGGGAGTGCCTTTTCCTCCTGAGTACTGTAGGTCCTGTTTGGCATTTTCTTCCAGAACAGGCCTTATCACACTGTGTATGCCACTACGATTCTTAAATCTCTCAAACCAACCTTTGCTGGCTTTAAATTCACCAATATGAGCACTAGTTCCAGGCGTTTTTCCACGTTCACCTGGGTGTTAGTCGACTGGTGTGGGTTGCATCCTGGGAGACAAGATTAAGGACCCCAATGGAAATAAGTTAGAGAGTCCTCGATGATGCACTGACTTTCTTGGGTTATCCTGGGTGGCTAACCCTCCGGGATTAATCGTTTCTCGGTAATTGTTTCACGTTAAGTCACACCAACAACACTCCACATCTTCGAGTAATACAGCTGATGGTGGTGCAGCAACAACAACAGCTGTGGTGCAGCTGACCATGGTGCAGCAGCAGCTGCGGTGCAGCAACAGCTGACTGGTCCAATTTATCAGCTGACCGTGGTGCAGCAGCAGCTGACTGTGGTACGATAGTATTTATCACCCTTCTTACCACAGGGTTGGCACTAGAAGCTTTCTTTGGGCCCATGGTGGCTTATTTAGCAGTTACAAGCACTATAAATAATGGAATAATACAAAATGTATCGAATGTATGCATGCAACCGGCCACCCTGGCTTGTAAACAATGACGGCAAGGCAGGCACTCAGGCTGGATGGACAGGTTCAGGACGAGTCATGTTCAGAAACAGCTGATGGTGCAACAGCAGCTGACCGTGGTCCAGCAGCAGCTGACTGATCCAGCAGCAGCTGACTGATCCAGCAACAGCTGACTGATCCAGCAACAGCTGACTGGTCCAGCAACAGCTGACTGGTCCAGCAACAGCTGACTGGTCCAGCAACAGCTGACTGGTCCAGCAACAGCTGACTGGTCCAGCAACAGCTGACTGGTCCAGCAACAGCTGACTGGTCCAGCAACAGCTGACTGGTCCAGCAACAGCTGACTGGTCCAGCAACAGCTGACTGGTCCAGCAACAGCTGACTGGTCCAGCAACAGCTGACTGGTCCAGCAACAGCTGACTGGTCCAGCAACAGCTGACTGGTCCAGCAACAGCTGACTGGTCCAGCAACAGCTGACTGGACCAGCAACAGCTGACTGGTCCAGCAACAGCTGATCGTGGTGCAGCAGCAGCTAACTGATCCAGCAACAGCTGACTGGTCCAGCAACAGCTGATCGTGGTGCAGCAGCAGCTGACTGATCCAGCAACAGCTGATCGTGGTGCAGCAGCAGATTACTGATTCAGCAACAGCTGACTGGTCGAACAACAGCTGATCGTGGTGCAGAAGCAGCTGACTGATCCAGCAACAGCTGACTTGTCCAGCAACAGCTGATCGAGGTGCTGCAGCAGCTGACTGATCCAGCAACAGCTGACTGGTCAAGCAACAGCTGACCGTGGTGCAGCAGCAGCTGACTGTGGTATGATAGTATTTCTCACCCTTTTTACCACTGGGTTAGCACTAGAGGCTTTCTTGGGGCCCATGGTCACTTATTTTGCAGATGAAATCACCAAAAACGCTGTAATACGAAATGTTCCGATTGTATGCTTGGATGTTACCGCGGAGGCTGGCTTGTAAACAATGCCACCGGCGGAACATGTGAAGCTGGCTCAGGCCGCACATTAGAAGCATCTCAGACGAATAGCGTTGAGTGAGTTTTTTAGCGGAATGCGAGGCAAAATTTTAGTGATAAAGTGTATCGGTATGCGGATTTAACGTTATGTGATGCCAATGGTATGCGAAGGTTCACTGTATAGTAGTACCAACACTCTTGTATGGGTGTGAAGCTTGGGTTGTAAATGCTGCAGCAAGGAGGCAGTTGGAGGCAGTGGAGATGTCTTGTCTAAGGGCAATGTGTGGTGTAAATATTATGTAGAAAATTCGGAGTGTGGAAATTAGGAGAGGGTGTGGAGTTAATAAAAGTATTAGTCAGAGGGCTGAAGAGGGGTTGTTGAGGCGGTTTGGCCATTTAGAATGGATCAAAGCAGAATGACATGGAGAGCGTATAAATCTGTAGGGATAGGAAGGCGGGGTAGGGGTCATCCTCGAAAAGGTTGGAGGGAGGGGGTAAAGGAGGTTTTGTGGGCGAGGGGCTTGGACTTCCAGCAAGCGTGCTTGAGCGTGTAATAGGAGTGAATGGAGATGAATGGTATTTGGGACCTGACGAACTGTTTAGTGTGAGCAGGGTAATATTTAGTGAAGGGATTCAGGGAAACCTGTTATTTTATATAACCGGACTTGAGTCCTGGAAATAGGAAGTACAATGCCTGCTCTTTAACCCTTTCAGGGTTTCGGCCATACTAGTACGGCTTACGAGCCAGGGTTTTCGACGTACTAGTACGCCTAAATTCTAGCGCCCTCAAATCTAGTGAGAGAAAGCTGGTAGGCCTACATATGAAAGAATGGGTCTATGTGGTCAGTGTGCATGGTATAAAAAAATCCTGCGGCACAGTGCGTAATGAGAAAAAAAAAACTGACAGTGTTTTTGGATTAAAACGGCGACTTTGCACTGTATTTTCGTATGATATTTATTGTTGTATTCTAGTTTTCCTGGTCTCATTTTATAGAATGGAAGACATATTACAGAAATTGAGATGATTTTGACTGGTTTTACAAAGAAAAGTACCTTGAAATTGAGCTCAAAGTAGCAGAAATGTTTGATTTTTACCAAAGTTCAAAAAGTAAACAAATCATGTTATGCATCCAATACATGTCAACTGGTGAGTCTAATATTCTTTCACAAATGCGGTGATATTATTTATACCATTTCTACACCAATGCAGTAGTCTGCATAACAGTAAATCTTCTATTTTTTTGTGAGAACAAAAATTCAAAGTGGAAAGCAAAAGAATGTAAGAGGGGCCTGGGGACGTGACTAATGAACAGAGGAAATGTTATTTTAGTGCCAGGAATGTCTCTCTTGTTTATTCTGGACCCTATTTGGAAATTGGCATTTGAAATTTGTGTGAAATTGGCAAAATTGCTAAATTCTGACCACTGTATTGGATAGTTGAAATCAGTAAATGGGTGGTTTCTTGTACTCATTCGATAGAAAAAAAATGGAGTTCTAGCGAAATATTTGATTTTTGTTGGGAAGTACATTGGAATTGGCCGAAAATAGGGCTCAAAGTGGGCAAAATCACCGATGCGTAAACATCGTCGAGACCGCTAACTTCGCGAGAGTATAATTCCGTAAGTTTTCCATCAAATTTCATACTTTTGGTGTCATTATGATCGAGAAAAGATTCTCTATCTTTTCATAACAAAAGAATAATTTTTTTTTTAATTTGGCCGACCCTGAGAGCAAGTCTCTGAGAGGGCCTGTCGACCCTGAAAGGGTTAAAGGAGGGGTTTAGGATATTGGCAGTTTTGAGGGATATGTTGTGTATCTTTATACATATATACCTCTAAACTGTTGTATTCTGAAAATCTCTGCAAAAAGTGATTGTGTGAGTGTGGTGAAAGTGTTGAATGATGAAAATATTTTCTTTTTGGGGATTTTCTTTTTGGGTCACCCTGCCTCGGTGGGAGATGGCTGACTTGTTAAAAAAAAAAAAAATTGCCTTGCTCGTATCTGTGTTCACTTTCAACTTTCTACTTTTACACCCCCTCCCAGATTTGTCCACTAACCTTTGCAACTTTTCTTTAGAATCACCCATAAGCACAGTATCATCAGCAAAAACATTTCAATCTGCTTTTAATAATAAGTGCTGCTACTCTTATCCTTTATCCTTTACTTTCCTGAAATATCTCTTGGGGGGAAAAATGTACTTTATTATTTCATTTAATCTGGTGTCTGTAATTGCAATGAGGTGTAGGATTACCATTACAATTTTCTTGCAACTCTTGGGATACATTTTTAATTATTTTTGTATATATTCCTTTAACATTCCTATTTGGCATGTCTGTTTTTTAAGCTAGGAAAGCTTGATTTCTTGTGTGGCTTGTGATTGCTTTGGTTTGGTAAAATAATTGTGGGAATTGAAGGAGGGGGGTTAAAAGGAAAGGTGGAGAGGTGAGCTTTTGGTCTGTAGTAAAATTTGTGCTTTAGTAGCGTGTAGGTGTGTGTGAGTGAGTTAAGGATAACGCTACAGCAATTTTTTAATTACCCAATACTCATGCTTGTGGTATCAAGTGCTTAATTTGTCAATATTCTATAACTTAGTAAAGAAAAACCTAGTATGCATCATTCATTTTTCCAAGGTAAGGAGGATGAAGGAAGAGTAAAACATAAAATATTTTGTGAAAAAATTTAGCATTAATGTCTGACAAGTGAGAGTCCTAGAGTTATTGACCCAATAATCAGATTTTGCTACATTCTTTATTTACAGGAGCAGACAAATTTTGGATGATTTTCGTGAGGCTTACTATTGGTTGGCGCAAAACACCGACACTGATGCACGAGTGATGTCCTGGTGGGATTATGGCTACCAGATTGCTGGGATGGCAAATAGAACTACTCTAGTCGATAATAATACTTGGAATAATTCACACATAGCCCTGGTAGGAAAGGCCATGTCCTCCAATGAAACTGCTGCTTATGATATAATGACCGCACTAGATGTGGACTATGTACTTGTGATATTTGGTGGAGTCATTGGATACTCGGGTGATGATATCAACAAGTTCCTCTGGATGGTGAGGATTGCTGAGGGAGAACATCCAAAAGATATCAAAGTAAGTGAGGAAAAAGTTGTAATTAAGTTGACTTTAAATTAAACTTATTCAACTGAGGTACATAGAATAAATAGACATAGCATTGATGAATCCACACCTAATCTTCAAACTCTTTGCCCAATATTTACACCATACATTGCTCTCCTTGCTGCAACATTTAGAACCCATGGTTCTCACCCACACAGCTGTGTTGGTACCACTAAATTTTATGATTTTATGTATGATGGGCTGATGTGTCATAATTAGTGAAGTAAGGAGGGACAGGTAGCCCCACCACATGCTCTGGTAATCTACTGTCATCATTAATAGTCTTGCACCATCTCCCACATTTTTCTTTTTCTTGGTTATTTTATCAAATCCATTTATTTCTTTGTACATTTTGGTATAAAATTAATTTGTAATTGAAATTGGGTACTACTGGCAACAGGGAAAGAAGTTCATATATTTTGTCCTGTTTTTAAATGTTTTCATAAGAACATAAGAAAGGAGGAACACTGCAGCAGGCCTGTTGGCCCATACTAGGCAGGTTTTCAGACAAGCTAAGTTTACCCTGAAATATCCAACCATCTTTCAAAAATGTAAAGGTGTGCCTTTATATTCATTAGCTGTAAGGGCATCCAGCTGACCATGAGCCAGTTCATTGGTGTATGGCTTAGAAATCACCCATTGTATTTGGAAAAACTTATACTTGATCTCCACATTTGTGGTGTTGAGTAGTTGCAGAATTTATAAAATATAGTATATTGTTATGTAGTATCTTCAAAAGTATAATCTCCCAACTTTTCAGGAGAGTGATTATTTTACTGATCGTGGAGAGTTTAGAGTGGATTCCCAAGGTTCATCAACACTCTTAAATTGTCTCATGTACAAGCTATCTTACTATAGATTTGGAGAATTGAAGGTGAGTTGCTTGTTTAGTTTAACATGCCTAAATTTGTGTATCAGTACTATACAGTACATGTATTTATGTACATTTATCAGCCACATTTTAAAATTAAAATTGTTCTTATAGGATTACTGGCACTTCTTGTAAGAAATTATATTTCTCTTAAACTTTGATATGGTAAAACTGTGGATTATTCAGTGCAAAGAGTCATATAGGTTTTAATATTTTTTGTTCATTAATTGTGAGACAGGCAGTCTGTCTAATTGTACTTGCTTAAAATGAATACTTATCAAGATTGCATGAAGTCTGAGTTTGAGAATGTTGCATGTGCACAGTATTACAGTGGAACCTCAGTTTTCATATTATTCCCTATAAAATGTATTTTTTTGTTACTATTTCCCATAAGAAATAATGTAAATCCAATTAATCCATTCTAGACACCCAAAAATATTAACAAAAAATATATTTTATAGAGAATAACTATTTTTCTTTTTGGGGATTTTCTTTATTTTTGGGTCACCCTGCCTCGGTGGGAGACAGCCTACTTGTTAAAAAAAAACAAAAGTTTTACATACAAACTAGGGCATACAGACACCAAGGTTCCTCTGTAATATGGAATGAAAAGGTAAGGGCATAGGCAGATTTCCAATTCTTCTACATTTGGTTGAGCATAATACTGTAGGTCCCATTACTTACAGCATTAATACAAGCTTAACCCTTTCAGGGTCCAGAGGCCAAATTTCAAAGTGTACACCAGTGTCCAAGAATTTTCAAAAAATAATTTTGTTATTTTTTCTTATGAAATGGTAGAGAATCTTTTTCTGAATGTAATAAAACAAAAAGTACGAAATTTGATGGAAAATTGATTAAATTATGCTCTCGCGAATTTTGATGTGCCAGCGATACTTAGGCATCGGCGATTTTGCCGACTTTGACTCCCATTTTAGGCCAATTACCTTATTCCAGTCGACCAAATTCTTGGCTATTTCACTAGTATTACTTCTGTTCTATTGATTGAGCACAAGAAATTGCCAACTCAACTGTTTCAACTGCAAAATAAAGTGATTGGAAATTGGTAATTTGGCCAATTTAGTGTAAAGTTCAAAATATTCCAATTTAAAAATAGGGTCCAGAATAAACAATGCAGGCATTCCTGGCACTAAACTAACATTTTCTCTGTTCATTAGTTAGGTTTTCAGGCTTTACAAATGAATTTTTATTCAAACCAAAAAACAGAAAAGATTTACTGTCTGCTATATTGTAATTTAATTGTATTAACAATATCAACACATTGTGAACGTATATTAGACCCACGCTGGTGTGTTACTTAGACGTGTTGAGGTATTTGTTTACTCTTGAACATCGGCCAAAAAATTTAACATTTCCGCTACTTGAGCCGGTTTCAGGCCATTTTCAGTACTTAAAACAGTCAAAATCATCTTTATTTCTGTTAATATATCTTCCATTTATCAAAGTGACCAAGAAATCGGCTGATACAATTGTAATAAACATCGAAAAAACAAAGCAAAAGTTGATGTTTTAACGACAATTACCATCTGTTTTTCTCTCTCTCATTATGCCACTGTGTGCTGCAGGATTTGTTTTATGTGGCTGCACAATAACACATAGATGTATTCTCTCATATCTTGGCCCAAATTTACCGCTCACTGGCTTATCAGAGCGAATACTGAGCTCTGGCGTAGATCTACGGTTTGGACCACTCGTGGTAAAGCTGTAGATCTATGGCACGGACCCTGAAAGGGTTAAAATGGTTTGGATCTGAACCTGTTAATATTAGGAATGTGTTCCTTAGCTGTATTATTCAATATTTAATTTTTTTAATTATTTATTAAATTGAAAATTAATAAGGGGACTGTCAAGTAATATACTCAAGAGTTCTTATCTTTATCCTTCCATTTTAAGAAAGAAAAATATATTCTACAGTTCTTGACAAAATTTTACAAGAAATGAGGATACGGTCCGTGAATAATATGCATATGATAAAAAAGATAAACAGGGCAGTATTATTAGTAAATTATTCTTTATCAAAAATGTAATTATTGGGTTGTCAATTATTTAGCAGTCCATGCTAAACATATGTAAACTCTTCCACTAATTGATGAAATGAACATGAGCCCAAAGTATAATTTTTTTTTTTTTCTCAAACAAGTCGGCATGTCTCCCACCAAGGCAGGGTGACGCAAAAAAGAAAAGAAAATACCCCAAAAAGAAAATTACTTTTCATATCCATTTCAACACTTCACCAAACTCACACATTATCACTGTTTTTGCTAGAGGTGTCAGATCAACAGTTTTGAAGCATATATGTATAAAGATACACAAATATTCCCTCCAAAACTGCCAATATTCCAAACCCCTCCTTTTAAAGTGCAGCATTTTACTTCCCATTTCCAGGAACTCAAGTCCGACTATTTGATAAATAACCGTGTTTCCCTGAACCTTCACTAATATTACCCTGCTCACCACTCCAACAGATTCGTCAGGTCCTCAGTACCAATTAGTTCTCCATTCACTCCTATTAACACGCTCACGCCACGCTTGCTGGAAGTCCAAGCCCCTCGCCCCAAAACCTCCTTCTACCCCCTCTTTCTCCAAAACCACTTTCGTGGATGACCCCTACCCGCCTTCTTCCCCTATAGATTATATGCTTTCCATGTCCATTCTACTTTGTTCCATTCTCTCTAAATGACCAAAAACCATATCAATACAACACCTCTCTGCCACTCTTGACTAATACTTTATTAACTCCACACCTTTTCCTAATTTCCACCACTCGAATTTTCTGCATAATATTTACTCACACATTGCCCTTAAAACAGGGACATCACCACTGCCCCCAACTGTCTCCTTGCTTGCTTGGCATTTACCACCACGCTTCACACCCATATAAGAGTGTTGGTACTACTATACTTTCATAGATTCCCTTCTTTACCTCCATTAGATAATGTTTTTTGTCTCCACATATACCTCAACACACCACATCACCTTTTTCCCTCAACAATTCTATGATTAACCTCATCCTTCAATAAATCCCCATCCGCCGACAGGTCAACTCCCAAGTATCTGAAACATTCTCTTCTTCCATACATACTTACTCCCCATTTGATATCCAATTTTTCTTTATCTTAAATCATTTGATACCCTCATCACCATTACTCTTTTTTCTATGTTCTCTTTCAACTTTCTACCTTTACACACATTCCCAAAACTCATCACTAACCTTTGCAAATTTTTCTTTAAGATTCTCCCATAAGCACAGTATCATCAGCAAAAAGTAATGTGTCAATTCCCATTTTGAAAAAAATTTGACTCCCCAAAATTTAATCCCAACCCCCTCCCAAACACTCCTAGCATTTACTTCCTTTTCAAACCCCATCTATAATATATTAAACAACCATGGTGATTACACATCCCTGTCTAAGACCTACTTTTAACCGGGAGGTATCTCCCTCTAGGTCTTACACACCCCTAAAACCTTGGAGCCCTCACTATCCTCTAAAAAACTCTTTACAGCATTTTTTAATAACTTACACCTAATTCCATTTTTACTTGCAACATCTGCCACAATTGATCCTCTATCCCACTTATCATATGCCTTTTCTAAATTATAAATGCAATAAAAACTTTCCCTGCCCTTATCTAAATACTGTTCACATATTGCTTAATGTAAAACACTTGACTTCACTCCCCTACACTCTGAAACCTCCTTGCTCATCCACAATCCTACTTCTGTTTGCCTCCTAATTCTCTTCAGTTAACCCTACTGTTACACCTTTTCTGAGTATATCAGTAAACATATTCTCAATAATTTTTACCAATCTTCTGTTGTCCCCTTTCCCTTTATAATAAAGGGACTTTACAGCTCTCCGCCAATCTAGGTACCTTCCCCTCTTTCATACATTTATTAAAACAAAAGTACATACCACTCCAAAAAAAAAAAAACCCCCCCCCAACTATTTCCCCCCTGCGTTTAGCATTTCTGTCATGATCCCTCTAGTTCCAGCTGCTTTTACCACCTTTCCTTCTGCGTAATGCCTTCACGTACCTCCCCACACTTTACTTTCTGCTCATTCTTCACTCCTAAAGGATGGTATACCTCCCTGACCAGTGCATTGAATTACTGCCCATCTCTTTCGTCCTTAACATTTTAAAAGTTCCTCAAAATATTCTCGCCATTACCTAATACATCCCTCTCCCCATCTACTAATCCCCTACTGTTTTAACTGACAATCATATCTTTTCCTTAGGTTTCTTTTTAACTCCAAATTTTTTCTTTTTTTCATTATAATTTCTTTGACAGTGCATCTCCCACTCTATCATTGCTTTCCTTTGGCACTTCTCACCATTCTCCTTACCTTTCTTTTACTCTCCATATACTCTGCTCTTCTTAAACATTATGCTTTGGTAAAACCTCTCATAAGTACCTTTTTCTCTTTTATCACACCCCTTTACTTTCATCATTCCACCAATCACTCCTCATTTCCTCCTGCCCCCCCCTTCACTATAACACAAACTTCTGCCCCACTTTCTAATTACTTGCATTTTTATAACTATTCCACCTATTTCAAAACCCCCCCACTACTCATCTTTGCACTAGCCCACCTTTCTGCCAATAGTCGCTTATATCTCACCCGAACTTCCTCCTTCCTTAGTTTATACACTTTCACCTCCCTCTTACTTGTTGTTGCCACCTTCCTCTTTTCCCATCTACCTCTGTAGCTACAACTAAAGTATAAATGTATTTGATAAAAAAAATAGCAAATAAAAAGTATTTAAAATAATATTTGAATATTTGCAGTGATTATAACTGAAGATCAGTATTCATGTCATTGGTTTCAAAGTGCTAATATGGTTAGGGGAGACCTACTGTATATCATTGCCTCTTTATAATAGAGGGTCCCATCCTTTCACTAATAAATCCAATTTTTGTCTACAGTTGGACTTCAGAACTCCTCCTGGCTTTGACCGCACTCGTAACACTGTAATTGGCAACAAGGACTTCAAATTGACATATTTGGAGGAGGCTTATACTACAGAGCACTGGTTGGTGCGAATCTACAGGTAGATTTGATTTTGCATTAATGAAAACTTTTTTTATAGTATTTTACAGTGCTTGGATAAATATTACGGTTAGGGTTTTTCCCCTTATCTAGTTCAGGCAATTTTTCCTGAAATGTTATTTGCTTTCTTCAGTTTCAAAATTTATTTTTAACAATAAGTATTTTTGCTGTGTTGTATCCTTGCTCATGAACACAGGTATATTTAATTTCACGTCTTCTGGCAGAGTTAAAAAACCTGACGAGTTCAACCGACCGCGCATCCCAGTGTCACAGAGGAAGGTGAAGCGAAGGAATGTCTACCTCACTAAAAAGGTATTGCCATTGTTTTGAAGTCATAACTCAGATGATGGTGTATTAAAGACCACACGTTTAAATTATAAGTACATTAACAAATTTTTGTATGAGCACTGTACAAGAATCCCAGTGAAGTTATAATTTCATTTCAGTTGAGGAATGATTTATAAAACATTAAAGATTAGAAATTTCAGATGTAAATTTGAAATTTTTTCAGTATTCAGCAGACTGCTGGTTAACATGTGATCTGTTAAGACATTTTTCTCCTTAACATACTGCAAAATTGTGGCTTATTTTCAGTGAACACTTAATCAGTTCACACAGCAAAATACATGCAAGGGAAAATGGCACGTGCTGGGTTCTTTCACCTCTGTCCTGTGGCGAGTGTATGGGAGAGTTCATTGTTTTGTAGGGGAAGGCCTGCTTAATGTACTCAGCCATATCTTGGCAGCCATACACCTTCCATAACCCTTGCATCCACCCATTCACTTCTGCACACCCAGCAACCTCTACCCACACAACTCCTCCATGGCCATATTACCCCACTACCTAAAGCCCACTCCTTGCCCATCCCCAGAACCTCATTCCCACACCTTGCTTGATTTTTCCACCCTAACACACTGTCACTGCTTACCCTCATTGCCATCCCACACCATCAATCCACTCACTGGAATCCAGTCACACCATACTCTTCACATCTTTTCATCCACACCACTTTTCTACAGCTTCTAGCCACAGGCCTCCACCCACCTGTCATCCACCATGCACCCTCCCCCACCAAACACACAATCCTTAACCATGCTTTCATGGCCCACACTCCACTAACACCATCTACACACCTAATCGTGTAGCCACTCTCCATCCTCGTTAACCCCCACACCATCCTCATTACAGCCCACTGTACTCTAATTCACCACCCACTACCCCCCACACACTATTCCACTGCCCAGCATCTTCCACCTCCCAGTACTGGCCTCCAGCTTCTGCCCTCACCTGCACTTCTTGGTCACCTCCCATACCAGCAGCCCCTTCCCCCATCCCTACTCACCATACTGAACCCTCTAACCCCAACCTAATCCTTTGTAACCCACATACAGTTGCAGAGTGGGGCAACAAAGCAATAGGCCACCACCATATGCTAGCAGAGATGTGGATGTGGGATCTTTGATGCACATTACTACATAGATGTGCAATTGCATAGTCATCATTGTTTTTAAAATTTTGAGACCTAAAACACAAATTGGGTGGGTTTTTTTGGGATCTTAGGAACATAGCCCTATTTTCCCCATACGTTCTTCAGTTCGTTTTACAGTTTTGGATTACACACCATTTTCAAGAATGTAACTACCATGCTAACCAATGGTCAACTGTAGTTTAAAAATTGTTTGCCTGAGTATGGGCAAGAATTTCTTTTTTTAAGACATCCTGGCTTGGTGGAAGATGGCCTTGAGATAAAAATCTTAAAACATTATAAATTTCTTAAAATGTCCAAACATAGATCTACCTTAGTACCACCAGCCCTCCAAACGTGTATCAACGTTTTATTTTTCCTGGCTCCAAATTTGGCACAATTGGCCTGAGATGTCTGGTTAGTATAGAATGGGTCTTAACACTTGGTGTGTGCAGTATTAAAAAAAATCTGGGACCACTTAGTACCTTGTGGGAGCACCAGTTCAATTGAGCGCCGGCTAGAATGAATAACATGGCAAACACCAGTGATTCACTGATGTCATGTTGTATTAACACTCCCCTTTTAAGAGGAAAGTGATGTTGACTCCGAGTTTAGTGGCTTTGAGATGGATGTGGCCTCAAGCGGTCTAGGAAATATCAAAAACCTTGATAACCCATGTGCAACATTTGTGCAACGTCCTTTCATTTTTGATACCACTGATAGTGTCATCCTGCCAGAATGTCCTGTAACCTATGTCCTAAGTAAAAAGAAACAATTCTGGAACATGTGTAATATATATTCTGCTAGCTGGCTGTGTCTATCTGACTGGCTGTCTGTTTGTGTCTATCTGTCTATATCTCTCTTACAGGTACACATACAAGTACAGTTTTCATACATAGTGTAAATTCCCTAGGATAACCTGCATCGTGTGTAGTACCTGTTGATTCATGAGCCGCTCTCTGAGACGGACAAGCAGACAGAAAGAGGGTCAGAGGGGGACTCAGAGGACCAAGGGATCAGAGGAGAATGGTTCTGATAAGGAGGAGTGGATGGAAGAGCAGTGCAAAAGGATGGAACAAGAGTGGGAGAGAAAACTAGGAGAGCTTTCTTCAAAAATGGAGACAGCTTTCTGTGAAATTGGAAAAGAGGTTGGAGAAGAAGAATTGGGAGTCACAAGTTGAAGCCAGTAGCCAGGATAAGGGTCCTAGAAGATGAGGTAAACAGGCTGAAGCGAGTTACAGGGGTATTGACCAGAGAAGACAAAGCTTTTGAAGCTGGGAGGCCAAACGGGAAGGATGGAGATATAACGTACACTAAGGCCCTGTCAGCCTACCAAGCAGGGCCAAGGAGTGAAGGAGGAGTGCAGGTGGAGAGGGAGATAGGTCAAATGCAGAGGCCTGACCCTACCACCAAGTGCTAAAGGAAAAAGCAAGGGAGAAAATGACCCTGTTTAGACAGGAGCCAGAGTCACAGAGGAAAGGCAGTGAGAGGAGGAGAGAGCAAATTCAGTGTTTATTAATGGGCTTCAGGAGAGTGAGGGAAGGGCACACACTGAAAGACGGCAGGCAAAAAGAAAGGAGATTGAGAACATCATCACAGAAATAGATGAAGATCCGAGATTGTAAATTTTCAGAGAATAGGGGGGTACTTGAAGGGAAGAAAACAGATCAAGCTGATTTTCAGAACAGAAACAGTGCAGAACAGAATTCTCTAAGAGAAACCATGGTTGAAGGAATCGGCAGAATACAAGAGAGTGTTACTAGACAGACAGACCGAACACAAACAGAATGACAGCAGCTGAGGGAGAGGACACAAAAGTGAAAGTAGCTAGAAGGAGAGAAGGACAGAATCAGCAGAGGACAACCAGAGAAGGGTAAAGCAACAAGAGCAAGTGCACACACAACCATCCTTAGAACCCACAACCAAACTTTGCTATCCCAACAAAAAACAACTAATCCACACTTGCATCATCCCACACAACACTCAGCTATAGAATCCCACAGTACACTGCCAGGTCCCCCACCCTCAGACCCCCAAAACACAGTGTTGGAGAGGAAACTGAAGGTATGGTACACCAATGCTTACGGAATAACAAATAGGTAAGAGGAGTGGCATGAAAGAGTCAGAGGCATCACCAGACATCATAGCTCTCACAGAAACCAAGCTCACAGATATGATAACAGATGTCATCTTTCCAATGGAATATCAGTTCCTGAGGAAAGACAGAGGGAACAGAGGGGGTGGAGGAGTGGCACTGCTGATCAAAAACCGATGGGATTTTGATGAGTTGGAGAGAGGAGACAGAGGAGAAGCAAGAGATTACATAGTAGGAACACTTCAGTTGGAGGTCCCAAGAGTTGTAAATTGCATTGAGTATAACCACATTACAGGAACAGGAGGAGGCAAGGCGATGAGTATGATGAGTAATAGAGGCAATGGTTGACACACTGGTGATGAAATGGCCAGAGGGCATCATTGGCAAGCAGAGGGCAAGGCTTCTGATCATGGGTGACTTCAACCACAAGGAAATCGCTTGGGAGATCTTGGAGCCACATGGGGGCCAAGAAATGCGAAGGGCTAAGACCATGGAGGTGGTACTGGAAAACTTCATGTTTCAACACATAAGGGACACTACTAGAGAGAGAGGAGAGGATGAACTAGTGAGACTGGACCTAGTATTCACCTTGAGTAGTACAGATATTGAGGACCTCACATATGAAAGACCCCTTGGGGGCAACGATCATGTGGTTTTAAGCTTCAAATACACTGTTACAAGTGGAGGGGGAAGCAGGAAGGACTGGACGAATTAAGCCAAACTACAAGAAAGGGGACTACTTGGGAATGAAGAACTTCCTAAATGGGGTTCAGTGGGACAAAACTGGCAGGGAAGTCAGTAAACAAGATGGAATATGTGACAACAATATGCAAGGAAGCTGAGGAGAGGTTTGTACCCAAGGGTATAACGGAAATGAAAAAGCCAGGATGAGCCCATGGTTCACCAAGATGCAGGAGGCCAAAAACCAAGTGGGCTAGGGAATGGAAGAAATATAGAAGGCAAAGGAACCAGGAGAATAAGGAGAGCAGTCGTAGAGCCAGAAACGAATATGCACAGATAAGAAGGGAGGCCCAACGTCAATATGAAAACGACATAGCAACAAAAGCCAAATCTGACCCGAAGCTGTTTATACAGCCACATCAGGAAGGAAAACGTTAAGGACACAGGTAATCAGGCTAAGGAAGGAAGGGAGGAGAGGACAAGATATGGCGTGAGTATGTGAGGACTCAAGAGATTCAAAGAAGTGTTCACAGGAGACAGAACGGGGCTCCCAGAAAGACGGAGAGAGGTTGGGGTACACCAACATGGCTGGACACAGTACAGACAACGAGGAAAGAAGTGGAAGAGGATTCTGAGGTGAAGCTAGATACCTTAAAGGCAATGGGGCCAGATGGATCTCTCCATGCGGTCCTGGAGAGAGACGGGGAGCAGAAGGCCACTATGTGTACCCCTAACAACAATATTCAATACTCTATCGATAGGGGGGGGGAGGATTGCATGGGCATGGAAGACAGCAATGTAAGGTCCAATCTTTAAAAAAGGAGACAGACATGAAGCACTAAACTACAGACCAGTGTCACTTACATGTATAGCATGCAAAATCATGGAAAATATTGTCAGGAGAAGAATGGTGGAACATCTAGAAAGGAATGATCTCATCACCAGCAGCCAACATGGTTTCAGAGATGGGAAATCCTGTGTCACAAACCTACTGGAGTTCTATGACATGGTGACCTCTTCAAGGGGGGCTCCTTGGCGTGGTGAAGAGGCTCTTGGTCTGAGGAATTAGAC